CTGATAAAATTGATGTTAATAGTTCAGAAAGAGGTTTCGTGGAGCACTTGAGGACCCAGCAATATACCGTTGTTTGTAAGGACACTCATGTAGTTAAGGTATCCAAAAACAGTGATGGAAGATCCAGTTCTTCATCTTTGTTTGAAATTCCAACGGACCTACGATTATACAGAATTTCCTCTTTAGTAAGTTTTCGTGGGGTATATAGTGAGTTTCCAAGTGAATTGTCAAAACCTAATTCATTTATCAGGCAGTTTATGTAATGAGATTTACACACAAAAAACGATAATGTTTGGGGCTTTATCTGCCGGGACAACAACATATTTGTCATGGAGGTAGGACAAATGTTTTGCAAGATTTGGGTCTTTAACGATTGACGTAGCATGGATATTAATAGACCCATTCAGTTTCTTAATTCTGGTTTGTATTAACGACCTCACAGCCTTAATCCATTCGAAAAGAGTATCTACGTCTTCTTTCTCGCGTTTAACTCATTTCCTGGCATAATCCTCGACTGAACCCATCAGTACTTTGAAGTTGTGTTTCCAATTGATGGATTCAGGCTCACGATATTTCAGACCTTTGATAACATATTTTGCAGGGAAGTGTTATTGATAATGTTGATGTCACCGGTAATAACGTGGCCATCCGGATTATATGTGAATGTGGAACTAGTACAGGTGCAATCAGGCGGTTTAGACTTGAAGTCGTCAATATTGAGATCTTGCAAAACGTCTGTAATTGTAATTGACAATTTTAGTTGCAATTGGTTTGGTATAGGTATAATACAATATAATATAATAAAAAGATTGGTACATACTGCTCTTTTAAATAGGGAGACATTTTCGATTGAACTAATTAATGATGATATTGCCCAAGTTGATGGCATCGAGTTCTTTGTTGTCAAAGGAAAGTTTAAGAAAAGATCTTTTCTCTTTTTCATCTTTTCCAATGCGAACTGGTTTGAAAAGTCTGTGAATTGCAATATCCGAAATGATAGCTGTAAGTTTGTATTGGTTACAACAAACTATGTTGATATCACAGTTGGAGGATATCACACCACACAATAATTTGGCTGGTTTAATCCAACATTTACTTCATAAGAAATATCTGTACCAAGTCAGGAATATGTCTGTTGTTTTCCATTCGTTTGATGTGGTTTGGGTTTTGCTTTTGCCATTTAATAAGGGACTTCCCTCATTGAATCATCCTTTTTTGTTGTTAATTTACTACGCGAATATAAAATGAATCGCTGTACGTCTTGTATTTCTCTGGTTATATATTTCCCCAACTCATTCGGTATTCAAAGCTTGCAGCTGCTACTCAAACTGTCAAGACTGGAAATCACCTTGTAACGATGTCAATGTCTGAGCAAAAAGTTAATAAACCAGGATTACGTCAAAGAACGCCTCGTCCTTTTTCTAAACAAGGTTCATTGGGAGATACTGTACCAAGACCTAGTTGATCAATATTCCGTATAAACTTCACAAATAAGACACAATGGATTAAGTATAGATTCCAGGTACTGAATTTGTTTATCATCTTAACTACATGCTACAGTGTTCTTTTATTTGTCTTCGTAAATTATTAGTTTTACTGTAGTCGGTCTTTAGTAATATCCCTTTTCTGTCCTTATACATCCCGTTATTGTGCTTTGATAGATTTTTGTTTTTGTTTTTCGTATTTGCTTTTGGGCTTTGTCTATATGTCGTTTTTTTCCCATAGTAATAGTAAAAAGTAAAATCACAAAAATACTGAACTCTGAGGAAAATTCAAAACGGAAAGTCCAAAATCAATGGCAAAATCAAAAGCTCCAACACATCAAACGAATAAATAACAAATGTCATATTCCTGACTTGGTACAGACATTTTCTTATGTAGAAAATTGTAGATTAAACATCGTTTTTTAGCTATTAAGTATTTAAGATTATAACACAATGTTGACTACTGTACTTCCAATTTTAAACATGTTTACCTATTATGTCTGTCTGTTTTATTCACGCATTGTTGTCAATAATATGGAATTTTATGGGACTGTCATACAAGTGAGAGGTTAAGCTAGCTATAGTACCAGTTTTTTATTCCAATATTTTCTACATAAGAACATGCTTGTATAAATTCAGGAATATGACCGTTGGTATCCATTCGTTTGATGGGTTTGAGCTTTTGACTTCGACATTTTATATAGGACTTTCCGCATTGAATTTTTTCGGAGTGGGTTATTTTCTAACAAATCATGGTGGATAATCGGTAAATATTCACTTAGGTAAAATTCTGGTCAACTTTGCCAAACTTTAGATTTTACCATGCTTTTTTGATAAAAAGTATAGATAACCGTATTATTTTCAACCTTATTCACGAAAAACACTTTTTTGATAATAAAATATATCTGGGAGATGGAATTTTGAAATAAATATGAATGAACAGGTTTTATATTATGCTTCAAAACAAAAATGTGTCACCAAACTTGTTTTCTCGCTACAAGTCCTTTAAAATTCTTACAGTTAAATTTGCTTTCCCTTGAATGGCTCAGTTGAAACAATACTTGGTATTTGTCTAAACCGTCTTAATACTGCAATAAATTAATATAAATAGTTTAACATATTAATTGGAAATCTGTCTCTATACTGCTATTTGATAGTCCAAGAAAGATGTAAACAGTTAATCTGCCTTAAATTTTACCAAATGTTATATCTGACTTTTTATTATGAATACTCTGGAGTTTTTTTTGTTGCAATAGTTCCATGTTGATACAATCATAGGGAGCGGTTCAATGCAACAACTAGTAAAAAAAAACTGAAAGGAAAGACGACGAAAATAAAGTAAAAAGATAAGTAAAAGGCAATAAACAAAAGTACAAGACAATCAATCAAAAACTAAATACAAAAATATTGTGGAAGTCTGAACAGTTTTTGCTAAACTAGTGGCACCATTCATTTTGCTCTTGACAATGAGAATAGTTTGACATTTCGTTGTATGTGATGTCACATAAAATAAAAGAATATACCAATTAAAATATTAGTGTCCTATACGCGCGTGTTGTGTACGTTGGAATCATAAAATAAAGGGTCTCGTAAACATTTCCCGAAATTCAATGTCGAATAAAAAGTGAAACAAATTAAAACAGGGTTCAAGGAATCAGTTTCACAAAGGACAACAGAAACATTGAAATTGCATCTAACAAGCAATCGAAATTTTCAAGTTTTCTATTTTGCGTTGATTTATTTTATTCTTGTCGCTGAATTATAATAGACTAATAATCATCTGTGTATCAAAAGTTTTCGTCATCTTTTGATATGTTTCAAAAAGTTTTGAACTCGTATTTTTACGACTTATCTTATTTGATTGTTTGCTTATACTTATGAAGATTCAAAGTAAATAACACTTTATGTAAAAGTTTTAAGTCTTTTACACCAACGATTGTTTTTTACTTCGCATTCTAGTTTTCAATAGCTTTTGTGAGATAAGACTATAATAAATTTAGAGTGACCACTTGAATATATAAGTATGAGATAAGAGCTATATTTAGAAATAATTGAAAACTTTACTTCTTATACACCGTATAAAATAAAAATCATCTCAGTAGTATGACGACGTTCGTTTTGGAAATATTTTTTGTATTCTGACGGAATAAGGTTGTTCGCATTAAACAAAGGTAAATGTTTTTAACTTATCTAATGGATGACTTATAATTTTACAGTATATTATTTTCTTCAATTGCACGCTTACCAAAATATTGCATCCCCTACAAACAATGAAGACAACAGCAAAATAATACATAGTCGATGTATCCATGATGACTGGATGTGTATTTATTGAGAAGCAATTGTCGTTCACACCCTGTGGGGTTGCTCTTAATTCAAAAGTAGTGCCATTCCCCTATTCGTACAACAAAAAATAGCGCTTTAAATTATTCTTTTTATAATTAACGTTTTCCATTTCTCTAATACATGTATGCCATGTTTAAAATAAACACGACAGACGTCCTTTTAGTACATCGATTTGTTGTTTTTTTTTTCATTGGGAGTTTTCGATAAGCATTATATAATCTGTTCATTAGTTTGAAAAGGAAGTTGGGGTAGGGTCAGTTCTAGTGTACACGTTTTTTGCTTTTACCGTTCCTTCAGCAAAGTTTAGGACATAATATTCATATTAATGACATGGTTGTTTTCCATCATTTGACGTTTGTTAGTTTGGAAGTCGTAATGTAATGTACATGTCACATATTTTACGTCATATATATCATGTATCTAATTATGATGTTTCTATCCAGGATATGCAACTGTAAATCGTGCTGATTTATTGATACTTGAATGAGGTTATTTTTTTTTTCAGATTCATTCTTGACCAAGGATTTTTGACATATACTTTATTTTAATATGAAATGTTATCCAAATTTTAAAATGGAAAGCAATGTAAAAGAGGGGCGAGATATACCAGAGGGACATTCAAACATAGATCGAAAATAAACTGACAATGCCATGGCTAAAAAGGAAAAAGACAAACAGACAAATAATAGTACACAAGACACAACATAGAAAACTGAAGACTAAGCAACACGAACCACACCAAAAGCTGGGGGTACTCTCAGGTGCTCAGGAAGGGTAGGCAGATCTAGCTCCACATGTGACACCCGTCGTGTTGCTCATGTTATTACAAACAAGGTTAATAGTCTAAACCCAGTAAATATACTTTTTCTTTCACTAGTACATTTAGTTTGAAGATTGAAATGAGTCTATAATCGAATAAACTATACTATGAAATAATCATTACAAGTCATTCTTTCATTTAAGTTTACTACCTTATTGTGAAATATTATTTGCTTTGTATAGGGCATGGTGTGATTGATGAAAATGGTTTTCATTTCCAAACAGGACCTACATACTATGCTGACTACAAATAATATAATAAAATTATTTGCAATCTCTATTCATGTCATGTGTCAGCCCACAATAGGCAGTTTCACTTGAAGAGTAACTGTTTTCCGTGACCCCGTTCGAATATTTCCATCTTCTAATATCAATGTGAGAAAAGAGTTGTTTCCGTTTTTGTTCTACTGTTTTTAGAAATAAACATGATTTTTGTTTAGTACTTTTTATATAAAGAGTGTCCTTTGCTTATAAAACAAGCAACTTATCCACAACCGGTACCTTAGAACAATTACTGGTATAAATATATGTATATTTTTTTTATAATTGTTTATTGGACCAGAATGAGAAAACAGAAAACAAACTGTTAGAGTGTAAGAATAATTATTCAGACAAGAATGAATTTATTGCCTTGACGCGACTTTTTTTCTATGCTTTGAATCGATCTGAGGTGTGTAGTATTTTTTGGCTTACTTTTACAGTTTTGTTCCTAAGTTTTGATGTAAAACCACTGTGCGAGGTTAAAGGGAAGGTTGGTCACCGCAAAAAAAAGATTAATTTAGTCGTAGATGCATGTTTCTATTATTAGTTGTTATTGGCTTTTAACTAGCTGTCAGTATCTGCAGGAACTCTCAAATCTGTACTTAGCGTATATTTGTTGTTAGGATGAACAAGTAAACGGCCACGTCTATGTTTGTCTTTCTGTTGTTGGGATATACAAGTACCCGCAACGTCCACTCTGTGTTTTTAGTTAGATGTATTTCCAATTGTATTCATCTGATGAGTTAAGCCTTTTTCAACTGATTTTTATAGTTCATTCTTATGTTGTACTGTTACACCACTGTCCCAGGTTAGGGGAGGGTTGGGATCCCGCTAACATGTTTTACCCCACCAATTCTGTATGAGTGTGACTGTTCCAAGTCAGGAGCCTGTAATTCAGTGGTTACCGTTTGTTGCTGTTTTACATATTTGTTTTTTGTTCATTTGTTTGTACATTGATTAGGGCGTTAGTTTTCTCGTTTGAATTGTTTTACATTTGTGATCTTAGGGCCCTTTGTAGCTGACTATGCGGTATGGGCTTTGCTAATTGCGTACGATGACCTATATCTGTTAATTTCTGTATTATTTGGTCTCCTGTGGAGAGTTGTCTCATCGGCAACCATACCACATCTGCTTTTTTATATTAAACCTGTCTCATTTTGTATCTGCCTGTCCCGATAAAAAGCCAAAATTAAATATACGCCACTGCTTGCTTTATATGACATGTGTTTTCCTTTTGCTGTTAGAATATAATCCAGTCGTTAGTTTGGCTTGATTGGATGAGTTCAGTATGACATCTATTTTCACGGAACTAGTACACATTTTTGTTGAGGGACCAGCTGAAGTCCCCCTGCGAGTGCGGGATTTTCTAGCTGTGTTGTTGGCTCATTTTACTCTTTGGTCGGGTTTTTGTCTTGTTGACACATTTCCCATTTCCATTCTCTTTCTTATCTGAAGAGACGGCAGTGGCTGTAAGCTAGTTGAAAAGTAAAACAATAAAATAAAAAGATATTCCCATGACATGAGTTTCAAAACAACATACGAAGACACTATCAACATCAGTCGAAAAGACTGTGAGACTCGACAAATATGTAATAAGAAAACACAAAAACGCAAAATACAGACATACCGCTTAAAAAATACTCCAACTCCCTGAAAGCCAACTTGTTTGTTTTTCGTTCCTTTTTTTTTGGTATAGTTTTTTTTTGGTACATAAACTAGGCCGTTAGTTTTCTCGTTTGAAGTGTTTTACATTTGTGATTTTGGGACCTTTTATAGCTGACTATGCAGTATGGGCTTTGTTCATTGTTGCAAGCCGTACGGTGACCTATAGCTGTTAATTTCTGTGTCATTTGGTCTCTTGTGGAGAGTTGTCTCATTGGTAAACATACCACATCTTCTTTTTTCTATTCAGCTTTAAAATAAAACTGCTCTCTACACATTCATACAAAGTCATATTGAATTGATATATCAACTAGCAACTTGCAAAACATACTCTATATATGCAACGTGAGTAAACATTGAGGCGTAACATGAGAAAATTGCATCATTGGGATTTTGAGTTTATTTCCTGAACAAGATTATTAACATATTTGACATGACAAAAATAAGTTTCGAATTATAATTTTGTGACGAAAATGAAAGCATAAGATATGTAATTTTCGTTCAGCGGGTGAATTATATTATTTTGTGTTTACCTTTTGGGTTGGCCTTGTTTTAAAGAAACTTCGAAATAACTAGCAATATATAGTACGCTGTTCTCTTTATGAATATCTTTAACTATCATTCCTGCAATAATGAATAATTTATATATCATATATCATTAAAAATATCTTTATTTTAAAGAAACTTCGAAATAACTAGCAATATATAGTACGCTGTTCTCTTTATGAATATCTTTAACTATCATTCCTGCAATAATGAATAATTTATATATCATATATCATTAAAAATATATGTCTGAGAGGTAAATCATTTAAACATTATAAGAAATAATGCTGACGAAATTGTATTCCATACATCATATATATAATATTTGAGATTATTTTCATATATTTACACTAACAAAGTTCCACTCGTCATTAATATAAGAATCGTAAATGACCTTTGAATTGACCTCTCATGATGAAAACCATGAACCTTGAAATGATAATAAAACTATATATCTTTCATGCATCCTAAGTGTATTACTGTAATGTAAATATCTTCACCATGAACACTCAATGAAAGCATAAGATATGTAATTTTCGTTCAGCGGGTGAATTATATTATTTTGTGTTTACCTTTTGGGTTGGCCGTGTTTTAAAGAAACTTCGAAATAACTAGCAATATATAGTACGCTGTTCTCTTTATGAATATCTTTAACTATCATTCCTGCAATAATGAATAATTTATATATCATATATCATTAAAAATATATGTCTGAGAGGTAAATCATTTAAACATTATAAGAAATAATGCTGACGAAATTGTATTCCATACATCACCTTTAATATAAAAAGTTTTACAAAAAAAGTTTAAAAATCTTTTCGAACTTCTGAGAATCTACCTTCAATCATAGTATGTTAAGGTATTAAATGATCGGGAAAGGAATTACACACTATGAAATATTAGAGTCGCTAAAGGCACATTCTGTATGTATGTGCCTGTCCCAAGTCAGGAGCCTGTTATTCAGTGGTTGTCGTTTGTTTATGTGTTACATATTTGTTTTTCGTTCATTTTTTTATATAAATTAGGCCGTTAGTTTTCTCGTTTGAAATAATTTACATTTGCCATTTCGAGGCCTTTTATAGCTGACTATGCGGTTTGGTCTTTGCTCATTGTTGAAGGCTGTACGGTGACCTATAGTTGTTAATTTCTTTGTCATTTGGTCTCTTGTGGAGAGTTGTCTCATTTGCAATCATACTACATCTTCTTTTTTATATTATACAAAATATCGTATCAAGTTTTTTTGCTGTTCAATATGAATGTTCCTCATCTTCAAAGAAAAACGAGAATAGTTTTTTTTTTAATGTTAACATAAGACCTTGTTGAACATATTTTCGTTGTCAATTATTTTTTTTTCCAGCAAAATATTTAACATAACATAACAACTGACTGAGGTTGAATGATGATCAACTGTTTTTTTTTTCAGACAAAGTAATTACAGTACACCTTCATTTATTGCGTCTGTAATCAAATTTTCTGATGGCTGTCGGGTAGTTCTACTTCGAATAATCATCTTTTCCGCTACGGAAGGAAATTGACGACAAGAATAGCATTAACCAAAACATCTTCACGTACCCTTTCAAAAATAATGAAATACTTAGCCTTTAAATTCTCAATGATTGATGCTTTTCATGTTGCCTGGCAGATGGCAAGTTCCTTTAAATAACCATTTGTCAATCCAAATAAGGTAGTTATTACATCTAACTTATCTGTTTGGATTTCAGGAGCTTTTACTAGTGCGAAATCAGGCGGCACAATGTCTGTATCTAGAATGGAGGAATTGTTTGTTTCATCTGCAAGCTTTTCGTCAACAACACAATATTTAACAAGTAGCACCAAATCTATGTCACTGCCTAGGAGGTCTAGACGCTAAGATATTATGCCACTGCATATGATTCTTATTTGTTAGAATTTCAATGCATACTTATGTAACAAAGATGTGTTTTTAGATTTAAAAATGTTTTAAAATGGTTCTAATATAGATCATTTTATGGTTAACAATTCTTACCTCTTTTTGTTATGGAGTTTCTTCTATAATTTAATATTATCTGCTTTTCCAACAAAAACGCTATGCGATTGATAACTGCCAAAATATATTGGCGCAATTGATCGTGATTGAAGAACAAATCAATACACAAATAAATTAGACGCTATTGTATTATTGTTTTATGTGCAATACAATTGGCAAAAGAACAAGTTGGTAATATAATCCCATTGCTCAATTTACAAAGTAATGACACACATATTTTAGATAGTTTATCATTAAAACACATGAAGTGTTTACGCAAACTCATATCATGCCTACCAGTTAATAAGGAAACTTTATTCGCCGAAAGTGAAAATAGTTTTTAATGAATTGAAATGAAAAACAAAATCTGAGAAATTGAAGAAAAAAAATAAAATTAACGGTGATTTCAATTGATAATTATTTAGATTTCTAAATCATTTCAGAATTATAAACGCCTTCAGTATGTACATATAGTAAACTCTGATTTAGGTTTTGTTTTGTTTTGTATGTGGACTGTCGTTGGCTAAATGAGTCAGAGCTATAATTGAACTTCGAATAAATCATAATGATGAAAAGCAACAGCTTCAAAAACAAGCGTACATTCAGTAATATTGAGGTAGAAAATACATCACTCGTGTACTCTGTAATCACTCTATAAAAGCTTAGTTTAAGACTCTACGTGATTAGATAAAAAAAACACCTTATAAATGTCCGCAACGATATACTTGAATTACTTTCATTATGAAGTTTCAAGCGCAAATTTGAAACTCTTATCAGGTAACATAAGAACATTTTATTCACTGAAAAAAGTATTTGTACAGTGATCATGGTGATTGAAACACACATGGTTATACATGGCAAGGTCATTGCACTAAATGTAAATACTATGCAATTGTGGCACCCCTTTTTATCATAGCGTACATACTTGTATTTTAAAGACTATCCGTCATATCGATTAAGAATGAAAATTGTATGTGCAATCCTATAGTTGGTGAGACTTTTTCTACCAGATATGCGAATTTTCGTATTTATATTTTCTCTTATTACTCTCATTTAATATTTTATGCATAAGTGCAATATTGGGAATGGTTTATTCCCCACAAGCTAACTAAATAATTTAATCTACCCTCTAGCTCATCAGACGTTAATACAACTACTATCAGTCTATCCGGATTGAAGTTTCTTTATTTCTTCAAAAAGGCTTTTTTGGGATCATAAGTGTACGTCCAGTGGAATATAGTACATGCATGTCAGAACAGGAAAACTGATCATTAGTATAAACCAATGATCGACAAATGCGTACATTTTTGTTAAATTAATATTTGTGTATGTTTCAAAATGTCCATAATTATTGACAACTAGTATATACTTACATTTTCCCCAATTTACCCTTGGTACCTCATATATATCATGCTTTACACCAGAAATGTTATTTATAAACAAGCGTAAGAGTTTAGTAATGACTAGTATATCACTGTCGGACAAGCGAGACAAAGATATATATTACACCTGTTAGTTTGTAAATGGAAAGTCGTGTACACTGATACGCTCAGAAGTGAAGCGATGCATGAACTTGCATTATGTAATTGTGTAATAAGTTTTTAAGTCCGACTGGAAATCGCTTAAATACCTAGACGTGTCACCTCACAACACCTCTTGGAATAATTCCTTAAGCCATGCTGGTGATCAGATAAGAGAAGACCCGAATTTATTTAAATAAGTTTATTACATAAAAGTTTTATGTACAAATTAGATTTCCGAAAACAATTTTACACGGAACACTTATTTATGACTTTGAACTTTGACCTTTTAACTAATTCCCATTAAATTTCTTGTTTCAAAAACGTAGTAAAAAAAAAGTATAAAAACGACAGACCAAAGTGATTAAAAAAGAATAACATTTTCCGTATCAAGTTAGGTAGAAATGGTTGCACAACCATGTCTGATATATTCTTTTTTTGTGACCCGGGAAACTGTTTATGCTTTGTGGGTTAAAACAACCGTATGCTTGACAAGATATTGACACTCAATGTCGTCTACGTTAGTTACTGCTTGTTTTGGTCCTTTGTGGTTTATAGATATCACGTGGTTTCTCAATTCTTAATCTTAAATCGATGATGATCTTTTATCTAGCAGAATAAAACGTTAATATTTATGAATTAATGATTTTTTATACCAAATGAACATAATATCAATTTTTATTTTTTTGCAAAGTTTCCCTTTAAGGATGTACTTTCGTGAACTTAAATAAATCAAGAATTTAAAATTGATCCTATAAACTGGAAGAGCATTAGATAAGGATCAAAATAAGCTAAACATATTGATAGGTCATGGAGCTCCTTTTCGAGATATTTGATTTTAAAATATGGCGGGAAAAGGCTGACTCGGACTTTTACCTTATATTTGCATTGGTATTATTTGGGTCTCACATCAAAAGAAAGAAAATCAAGAATCTGCTTAAACTTTGTTAAATGTCCTTTTATGAGCTATTAAGTCTTATATAAAGATAAATGGGTGTTTTGGGGAAAATATTTTACCTTGTATCGTAGGGAAAATTACCAGGGAGTCCGAACATCTGACACAAATTCCAAAACCTCACCTAAGTACATCCTTAAGCAGTAATTCGGAATTTTATAGAAATAAAATTTCAAATAATAAAACCTTATTTTTTTTGTATATTGAACAAAAACATTATCAACTATCGAAGTGTACATTTAATCACCATTATCAAAAATTGCATTGCTAATGATATTACATGTAAAGGAAAATATTGTATAAAATCTTGTATGCATTATGATCCATAAAAAATGAGATCGTTCTGGTCACAGTTCTTTACGTATTGAATGAGATAAGTCATCAGCGTAGACATATCAAGTATATATATAAAAAAGATGTGGTATGGTTGCCAATGAGACGACTCTCCACAAGAGACCGAATGACACAGACATCAACAGTTTTAGGTCACCGTACGGCCTTCAACAATGAGCAAAGCCCATAACGGCATAGTCAGCTATAAAAGGCCCCGAAATCATAAATGTAAAACAATTCAAACGAGAAAAGTAACGGCCTAATTAATGCACACAAAAAAATTAACGAAAAACAAATATGTAACACAGAAACAAACGACAACGATTGAATAACATGCTGCTGACTTGGGACAGGCACATACACACAGACTGCGTTTGGGTTAAACATGTTAGCGGGATCTTAACCCTTCCCCAACCTTGTACAGTTATGTAACAGTACAACATAAGAACGAACTATAAAAATCAGTTGAAAAAGGCTTGACTCATCAGATGGATACAAATAGAAATACATTTAACAAAAACACAGAATGGACATGGGTGGGTACTTGTCCATCCCAACAACAAAAAAGACACTTAGTACAGATCTAAGAGTACTCGGAGTTACCGACAGCTAGTTCAAAGCCAATAACAAATAATAAAAAAAGATCATGCATCTAAGACTAAATTATAAATCAATACACATCCAACATCCAATGGGTTTAGTAAAAAGACGTCATAAACAGTCAGAGAAAAACATGACCTTGTGCAATGCCAAGATACAGAAATCGACAGGTTGTAGATCAATGAAAGTGCATATATATATATAAATAACAATAATATTTAGTTTGCTTTTAATTTACTGATAAAAAAATCAATATTAATACCAATAAAAACAACATTCAAAGAACATATGACAGTGTTGAATTAGTACTTTTAGAATAAGTTTATTTAAAGGATCGATAAGTTTACCAGGATCGTTTCTAAATTTCCGGGCACAACAGGTAATCAACATCCCCATAAAAATGAGGATGTGCTATCCCGTTTGAAATAAGTTTTCTTCAGGAACAAACAAACTTCAAAACCAAATCTTATATCTATTGAAGAATTTAGTAAAAGTTTTAAGTAATTTGTGGCAACGAAATCCCTAACTTAATAATTTACCCGTTATTCATATATATCGTTCGTTAAAATCTAAAACGTCACAATAGCATAGCGAACGAGTTGTGAAATATAAACACCGTCTGATGGTGCCAAAGGAACATCACTATCCACAAACGGAAAATTAACAATAGGGAACGAAAAATCGTCCCTGTTGTCTTAAATTTTAGTGTGGAGTTTCCCGTGTAAAACTGAAATATCTAAATCTAGTTATAAGCGTTTACATCTGATTTATTAAAAGTAAGTTTCTTTGGGTAAATTTCGGCAATATATTTAGAAAATTCTTGATTATTTAACGAAAAAATATCATCAAGATAACGGTAAATGTTGTTGAATTTATCAATTAAATGCAATGTAGACGGGTCTTTACTGAGTTTGGTCATAAATTGTGATTCATAACAGTACAAAAACAAGTCTGCTGTTAAAGGGGCGCAATTAGTCCCTTTAGGAAAACTGTTATGATATTGTAACTACAATGTATCATATTTATTTAGTTGGCCTAGTTTGTTTTGTGTGGCCTCATATGTTTACATAATTTGTACTTGTTTGCAAAATGATATTGTAACTGTGCAGTTTAACAATCACTGAAACAATCATTGAGACTGATGGAATGATTATAACTTTCTAGTTTACTTACATAACGATTCCAGAATGATCATAATACATGTTATAAAAGATGCGTTATATATATATATATATATATACATATATATACAGACACTAAGTTAAACTTTCTGATATAGACATAGACATCGATAGACATTGATATTTTTAGCAGATGAATTGACACTTTTATTTACGAACAACATCATACTAGATTGTGACCTATTTGACATAATATCTGATTGGATTCCCGAGAAGATTTCTGGATAAAGAAAATACAAAAGATCAGACATACATTTTGACAGTTACGTTGACATTTCTTTTTGTGTAATATTTCTTGTAAACTTGTGTATAATAAATCTTGTTAACTTTTATTATTGATTTGTGTCCTTTGTTGGCTACAATTTAAAGGGGATTTCTGGCCGTAGCAGAAATTGGGGGCACGTCCGGGAGAAAGTTAATATCAGATTATTTTTTTGCAGTATGTTTATTGAATAAGAATTAGCCAACAAAATTCTACAAAATGGCATTTGATTCTAATAAATTTTTAAAAACGCCAGACCCGG